AAAAAAAAAAAAAAAAAAAAAAAAAGAAAAAAAAAAGAAAAAAAAAAAAAGAAATTGTTCGAGTCTATTTTGTTACGTTTTTATTTGAATATTTTTTACATTTGTAACCTTATTTCCTTTTAATGATTTTTTAACACCATTAATTTCCAACGAATCTCTAATCTTTTTTAGTAATTTAGACATTCTTTTAATAATGTTAAAAAAAAAAAAAATGTAGAAGAACTGTCATTTTCTCGAATTTTGGTACCACAAATGTCTTAATTACCCTTAGGATAAAAATTACAAATTAGCCCACAACAAATCTAAATTACAATCTGAGTGTGTTGTCTCACACTCTTAGCCCACGACAAATCTAAATTACAATCCGAGCGTGTTGTCTCATACTCTATCCCCCCGACCATCGTTCTCTTTAGGTCAATGTCGTCGATTAGTATAGTCTTACTGCAACCTTAACTATGGATTACAACTTTGTCCGACAAAATTATAATTTTTTTTTTCTTAAATAATTGGTCAAAGAAAATAATTGTGAAGAAAGAGGGAGAATTATTGAAATAAGTGGAGTTTGAGGGTCCAAATCATAATTTGTTGTTTTTTTTGGGTCCTTTGGAGAGGATTGAAAGATATTAATCAATTTTATTTTTATTTTGGATTTTAATTTTGGGATTTGTGAAGCGGAAGCTTTTTTGGGTCACATTGTAACACTAACATCAACATCTTATTATTATTAATATGATTATCAGAACCACATAATTAACAATATATTCTTTTTCTTTGTTTTCCTAAGTATATTCCCCAATAAAAGATTGACCAAGATTTCCATGCCTCCACTCATCAATAATGCTCTACTTTATTATGAATGCTTATTATTAATTAATATTTTACACTATCATACTTTATAAAATTTTAATTTAACCAAAAAAAAAAACATATTATGCAGATGCATATTCACTCAATTCAATGAATCAACCAAAACATAAAACAGAATACCTGTTTTCGTAATTGAATAATCTAATAATCTTCGCAAGACACTCGATCATAACTCTACGAGACAATTTTTTAAAGTAATCATAAAATACAATAGTCTAAGCTCACCGCTACTAGATATTGTTCCTTTGAGATTTTCCTTTCAGGTTTTCCCTCAAGGTTTCCACACCCAAGACACTCGATCATTACTCTACGAGACAATTTCTTTAAAGTAATCATAAACTACAACAGTTCAAGCTCACCGCTACTAGATATTGTCCCCTTTGAGATTTTCCTTTCAGGTTTCCACATCCAAGACACTTGATCATTACTTTACGAGAAAATTTCTTTAAAGTAATCATAAACTACAACAGTCAAAGCTCACCACTATTAGATATTGTCCTCTTTGGGATTTCTCTTTCGGGTTTTCTCTCAAGGTTTCCACACCCTTATAAAGAATGTTTCGCTCCCCTCTCCAACCGATGTGAGATCTCACAATCCACCCCTCTTAGGGGCCTAGCGTCCTCGCTAGCACTTGTTCAGAAAGGAGGATTCAAATTAAAATGAATATTTGTGAAGCAATTATGAAATGGGTTGAAACTTAGATTGATTTCTGGAAATGTATTGAGAGACAAGAAATGACATCCAAAGCTGATGAGAAACTGCTAATAATAATGCAAAGGAAGATTCAAAAGTGAATGTCATTGTCAAAGAAGGTTTGACTCAAAGCAGCCAGAGGAGGTGAACCCCACATGTATTAGAAAGGCCTGCAGATAAGTTATGGGATGCAATGGATGTGGGGCTGTCCTAAAGTTGTAAGGTACAAAGTGGGAATAGTTTTGTGGCTTTCAGAATATGGAAGATAATGGTCACATGTTGGGTGGAATAGAAGAAACCATTGGGAATCACATGGCTTTGGTTCTTATTTTGGCCTTCACATGACCCTAAGTAATGGAACAAAATAAACAAATGCTTTTAACTTTACTTTCTTCCTATTCTTTTGTATAGTCTCAGTTGAAGTTTTGTAATTGGAGTTGGAATTGGAATTGGAACCACATCATTTGGGACCCCCATGAAGTGATGTGTTGGTGTAGGAATCTTTTAAGTTTCATGGAATTGCTTCATAAAACTTTGGTTTAGGATAGAATCCTCCATTTGGGTTCGGGGGTTCTATTTTGATGGGTGATTTCGTCTTCTAACGACCTATGATTTGATTGAATCAAAGATGAGTTTTCCATCAAGGTATCACTACCTATCAATTTAGAATTTCAACCTGATTGACAACCGAAAATGATGGTGTAACAGCTTAAACCCACCGCTAACAAATATTGTCCTCTTTGAGATTTCCCTCAAGATTTTAAACGTGTCAATTAGGGAGAGGTTTTCGCACCCTTATAAAAAATGTTTCGTTTCCCTCTCCAACCGATGTGGGATCTTACAGAAGGGCGTGCTCTAGAGATGTCCATTTAACCCATGGAGCCAAGGATGAGAAGTGAAATAGGAGGAGGGAACGGAGACAGGAAAGCTACTTTATGAAGGTGTAACAGCCTAAGCCTACTGTTAGCAGATATTGTCCTATTTGAGTTTTCCCTTCTAGGCCTTTCCTCAAGGTTTTAAAACGTGTCTGCTCGGGAGAGGTTTTCACACCCTCATAAAGAATACTTTGTTCCCCTCTCCAATCGATGTGGGATCTCAAGAAAGGCATGCTCTAGAGATGTCCATTTAATCTATGGGGCGGGGGATGGAGATTGAAATAGGAGGTGGGACGGAGACAGGAAAGCTATTTTATGGCTTCATCATATATCTAAAACTATCCTGACAGAATCAGAACTGTAATACCAAGGAACTTGTAAAGGAAGAGGAAATGACAAGCAAACATAAAGCTAGAACAAATACTAATGATGTGAGGAGGGATAGTGACCAAAAGTTTCTTCAAGCACGAAGAGGTATTGAATAATATAACACAAATCATCTAAACAAAGTGTAGCAGAGAACACAAATTATACAGCTACTGAATAAATATGGCGAAGGGAGTTGAGTTCTTACTGCTGTTGCAGCCAATCTTCAAGCCTTCTTAGTTGAAATCTTTCAGTCTTTTCTTCAGAATGTCCATCGACTTCTTTCGAGAGCTTTGTTTCGTATTTCTGTTCGAAAGGCTCCCAAAGATCCCATCAGGAGAATCTTTAAATTTCTCACATATAATACCCACCTTCTTATAATCCAACATGTTATATTTCTCCTCTCTTATTTCAGGATTCATGAAGTTTTCAGGTTGACTGCTCAGCAAAAGGTTAATAAGTTGCCTGGCTTCCACCAAGCCTTTTCGAAAGCTACCTCCTTCATACATTTCACTCAATCCGCTGCTATGGAACTTCTCATCTGCAAAAGTTTCCAGCACCTTTAGATCGTTGTCGATGGCCATGACTGCGTTAGCATTGAACCTTTTGACGCTATCACTAAGAAAAGCTGCGAAGATAGAGTTCGATATGTGTTCGAACGCCCCACTTCCAACCTTGTATAAGGCTTCCAAAGGTAAAATCTGCTGTACGGTGGATAATATAGTGTCAAGATAGATAAGCACTTCATTTGTATAGTCATTTGCATTTGCAGAAACCTCCTCAGAAGTCCAACTAATATTCTCTGTTAGAGCCATAAACTCATCTAATTTGGTATTAACCAAATTCAACAATGCAAGATTAGCTGCATCTCTTGAAGTTTTAAGAACAATATTAGAATTAAGATTAGCTTGTGGCCTTTCAAGAAGAGGCACCCCAGATAGTTGAGCTGCATAGCCAAGGAAAAAATCGCAGGCTCGTTCAAGAACAGTTATATTTGCAGCAATTTGCATTGGTTGAGAAACAGCAAAAGAGCTGCTATGAATAGTATTGAGTATTGCTTCATTTAAAACATCTGTTAGGAGCCTATCCAAGTACTTCTTCACAGCATCGAACGGACTAGAATGCACGCTGTACGACAAATAATCAACAGACCCTTTAATGAAGGACCTCACAATGCGGCAGACATCAGGAACCGTAGACGAAAATGGTGCTATATATGGAAATGCAGGCATTATATCCGACGACTGGAGATTAAAGGAGAGAACGTTGGTTTCGTAATCACTATCTTTTTTCATAACCATCTGCTTACCAGAGTCATTAGCAAGAGCATCCACAATCTGCTGCCGACACTCTTCCAAAAGAAGCTCGTGGTATTTGTCCCGGCTTTTTTTGAAAGCCTCGAGTACCGCACCAATTTCGTACCCATATTGTCTAAGAGCAGATGCCAAAAGAGTGACATAATCCTTCACCAGAAGAAGGTGGGTTGCAGAGTCCATGAGGGAAAACTGTTCTTCCAGCACTGATGTCAACTTGCTAACAACAGTATCTAACATTGCATCGAACTGTTCAGCTGATAATAGCCCTCTAGCAGTTCTCATGACGCGATCCTCGACAATAAAATAACCTGCAATTTGAGCTAAAAATGTCTGATAGGATTCTATAAAAGGCTGACTAGAGGAGATCTGCAAGTCTGAATTAAGCTGCAGCATTCGGTTCCTATAGTAATATTCACGAAACTGCTCTAGGGTGCCAAGGCTTGCATGAATGTGATATGCCCGATAAACGGGTGTCAGGTCAAACTTTAGAGCCGAGTCCTCATCAATATCTTCAACATCTAAAGTATACGCAAAATCTCCCAAACCTGAAATGCTCTGTTCCTCAACTTGCCTCTGACGCTCTAACATTGCCTCGTCTTTTTGACGAGAAGTTGCTGCATGACCGATAGCTGTATGCCCAATAACCTTGGCAGAACTTCTTATGTGAACAAGCCATTCATTAAATTCATCAGAAACTTTCTTCGCAATGTGAGATTTAATCACAGGAATTCTTGTCTCAATGACCATTTTTAGTGACTTGACCGAAATCTTCTGCAAATAATTCTTCTCAATCTGATTGATAGTTTTCAATGCAGGGTAGAACTGGTCTTTAGAGATATGAAAATTGCACTTGGCACAAAGATCCAACACTTGAACACAATTCTCAGACATGTTGATGGCTTTAGCCACATTCTTTTTAATAGAATAAGATCCAAGAAGTTCCTCGAGTCTGACCAAGAGAGCGCTCCCTACCTCTTGCAATTTAGAATTATCACTAGATAGTTCACCCTTCAACTCTTCTGCATCGACCAATACACCACGAAGTTCATCGACTGCACAAATAAATTCTTCATAGTGCGTCTTGCACAATTCCTCAATTTCAACTTCTTTCTTCTTCACAATGATCTTCAGCTGATGAAGGAGAGTTTCTGGCCACCTCATTTCAAATGCATGTCTCACAATTGGAGCAAGATCTTCGCCATTCCCAATCAATGAAGCAAGGTCGTCTGCAGTTTCCCCGTTCTCTGCAGCGTTTCTCCTTTTTGGCTTTACCTCCATTATTAAGATCAACTCTGCTGCAAAAACATAAACAAGATTAATATAATATCTATACTTTGCAAAAGTTAAGACTTGGTTTACTAAGCAATAAATGGCACAATGAGGATCAAGTATTCACGCTCAATCAATATTCATTTCAGAAACAATCACTAACATTCTTAGTATTCAACCTACTCTAACTCACTAGAGAATATGGAGAAAACATCTTTCATAGTTTATAGGACGAACCCTATATGAGTATTCCGATGACATTGTCTACATTCAAATACTAGAAAAAGGTTTACGTACCCCATAGCAATGGTGTGGTTAGTCAGTGGTTGCACGCATGGGAGTCTTTTTCTACAATATAACAACAGCTTTCTTCTTTTCACCTCAAGGACAAGGGGAAACTGTGGGTGTTGGCAATATTTTCAAAGCAAAAGGTGTACTTCAAATGATGAACTCTTAAGGTAAGGAGGCCTTAAAATGGGAACCATAAGAAAAACTTAAGACCAAGAAGGATCATTCTGGATCTCAGTAAAAAAATAAGCAAATGAAAGCAGAGGGGTCAACCCTCAATTACTAAGAAAATAGAAATGAAGGAGAGTCGAGCTTGAAGATGACCAGTTGTGTAACATCTCAAGCCCACCGCTAGCAAATATTGTTCTCTTTGGGCTTTCCCTTCAGAGCTTCCCCTCAAAATTTTAAAACGTGTCTACTAGAGAGAGGTTTCCACACCTTTATAAGGAATGTTTCGTTCTCCTCTCCAATCAACGTGGGATCTCACAAGTTGTTTGATGGGATGGAAATGGAATAAAGTGTCAGGTTTAGAGAATGAAGGAATTTAAACTATGAAAAGTAAATGAGAATGAAGGAATTTAAACTATGAAAAGTAAATGAAAAAAACGTGAAGAAGATGAACTGGTTGCCTTGCTTAATGAGGCACCGCCATTGAAGTTATTGGCAACCATCGGGCAAGCCTTCATTGAAGGAGCATGGGATAGCAAAAAATGGGGCAACCCAGGCAAGAGGTGTCTCGCCTTCACCAAAGGCACACACCTCAGTGCGCCTAAAGAATGGGACAATCCATGACGAGCATATGCTTAACCACTGTAGCCTGACCTTTTGGTCCAGAAATTTAACATGATATCAAAACAAGAAACCGAATTCTCCAGGAGACAAACACGGAGACAATAAACAAAAACCTTAGCAAAAACTCTTACTGCTACAATTGAGAGGACGAACGACTGGAGAAAGAATTTCCAATTGAAAATTGGGAAATGGGAAAATCCCAGCAGAGGACACCAATTGGAGAAAGTTCCCTCCAATACCCTAATAGTTATCCATATCAACACAAAACATTTGATATCCATCTAGAAAACCAGTCCAAATCACCTATAGAGCTCAAACACACACAACGAAAGACAATTTCGTTCCATAACAATGATATCAGAATCAGCCATTAAACAGACCTTCAGCGGAGGGTTCGATCACGCATGGAGAGGTGAAGCCTGAATGACAAATGGAGAGATGAGTATCACACACGAACCGCAAATATGAACTCCGGCGAGATCAGCAGCGTCCGGAAACGAGAAAGGGAGACCAAGAAAGGCGATAACCACTAGGTCTCCTTCCACTGAAAGAGAGGAATTCCAGCTTGAGAGAGGGAATCCCAGTAGGCTGAAACGAGCTCTAATTCGGGAGGGATGGAGCTTTTCCCTTCAATTAATGGAAACTGAAGTGAGGCCTCGACGAAAGAGGGTTTATGAAGAAATGCAGAGGGGACTGGAAGGGTTCAGCTTCATGAGTGCCAGAGCAGCCAGCTTGAAGATGAACATGGGGCGGCAAGTGTTTTACTAGAAAAAGGTTCGTAAATTTATCATCTTTTAAGGCTATATGTGTAATTTCCTCCAAATATATATATACTTACATAAATATTTATATCATCATAAAAAAAAAAAAAAAAAAAAA